CATTCATTCAATTCAACAGTTTAGTATATTAATAATAATTAGATAATATTAAATAAATATAATATATTGTAATATATAATAATTTTGTAATATAAAATATTATAATAAATTAATATTGAAACAAAAATTATGCAAAACAAAGCTATTTCATTCTCCTTATATTTCACTTTATATATTAATATTTAAATTAAATTGCTTATAATTTAAAAAATAAGTTTCAATGAATTCATTTCTGTATTTTGTTTCAGTATTATTTTTTTTGATCTACTTTGTCTGAACATTCTATATAAATAGCTTTATGTTACTTACTCCTGTATAAAGGATTGCTGGGTTTCTTTCTGGCTCTGGTCTAGTAGCTGTAGAAAAATATCGTGATAATTGAACTTTTTTTAATAACCGTAACATGATTACTATTTTTTTTTTTTTCGTTCTTGAATATTTAATCAAACGTAATAACTACGTTACTTCGAACACTACTGGCTTTTGTCATCGTCCGTGCTGTTAGTTATGTTGAGGTTAGTTACGTGCACATGCGCAATAATTCGTTTTATTGTATTATGATGTATATATATATATACATCGGTATATAACCAATTAAAAAATTGTGTACGATATTTTTACACGTTTGGTATAAGTGTATCGTATAAATTATTAATAAATATTTTTGATGAATCAGTGTTAATATTTTCTAACAAATAATATATAATAATATATAAAAAGATGTAATAATAGTTAATGTATTTATATATTATCATTTTCTGAAAATTTTTTGATTTTAATATTTCAGAAAACAAATAATTAATCTCGATGAAATTGATCAGTTTGACTTCTGTGAGGTTCATGCAACAATTGTAAATGATATACATATATATACACATACAAGTGTACATACACGTACACATATATATACACGTACAAGTGTACATAGAGTATTCTAGAAATTTAACTGATTATTTCTGAAATGATTTGAAACAGCTCTTTTTTTGTCGCGTAATGACAATAATATGTATAAATCATCGATAACTTGAGGTTAGAACAAATTAAAACAATTATTATTTGAATTCATTCATCATTGAATTTATATACATAAATTACATTTTTATGTAATTATATAATTATATATATATATATATTCTCTATCTTTATTATAATTGAATATGTTTATTTTTTCGTTTCATTTTGTAATTGTAAATAATAGCATTTTAAAAAAAATAGAATCTTATCTTTTTTCTTAGATTAGCTATTATTAATTGTTTTTGCAAAGATTATAGAGGTAAATAATTCTATGCTTGATTGCAATCGATTTATACGATCCCGAATATTGCTTTTACATTCGAATATATGTCATAAAATATCATTCTTTTGCAATAATGATATAATTCAACAATTATGATTTAAAAACAACGATTTTATTTTCTAAATTCCTATAAAACTGTTTAAAAATTTTGAAATTGAATCAAATTATAAATATACAATTTAAAAAAAACACTTACATGATTTTTTAGAAAATATAAGCAACAACAGTTTTTTTTTGTATTATAATATTAATAACTCAAAAACTGCAAATATTGAGTTGTATCATTGTATTTTGTTGAGAATTATGAAGTGAATAACAATTTTAAGTGAACAACAAACAACATAATAATTAAGTGAATAACAAAAGAAACAATTTTTATAAAATAAATTGTTTAACAGATTTAAAAAAATAAGATAAAGATAGAAAAATTGCTTCTATAAAATCTCTGATTCAAATAGATATCATATAATATACAATTGAAAAAATTAAGAAAAAATTTATAAAAAATTATAAATTGAATTAATATTTTATTTACCGACAGTCTATTGATAAACTTTATATATTAACATTAACATTTATTGATTAGCCTATAAATCGATTTTTTATTAATTTCTTCTGATAAACCATTAATTTTAAATCTATTAGAGATAATAATAAAAAAATTGTTAAATATATTTGCAGTTGTGTTGTTAGTAATAATAATATTTTATTATATTATATATATATATATAATATTATATAATATTATATAATATTATATAATAATATTTTTTCAAAGTTGTTAAAAAAGAATATATCAATGCTATAGATAAAGATCGTATCTATAGATTGCAACGACATATATTTATGAGACACTAATTTATTTGTATCATTATTATTTGTATTTGTGAAATCCATTGAGCATTCATTTCTTAATTTTTATATTTTTATTTGTATTCATATTTATTTCTATATTCGTATTATATTTATATTCATTACGAATAATTATTACTTAGTAAAAGCGTGGCAATAAAAATAGAAATATAACTTTTATAATAAAACTTTTATATTGATTATATAAGTCATTTATAAATTTTGCTCAAAGATATCCTTTCTTCTCATCCTTCTAATCGCCTTATATCAGTTTTTTTGAAACTGATTCAAAAAATGAATTCAATTTGTTGAATAAAATTTGTTGAATTTTCGTATAAAAGTTGCAACTGAAAATATGTAAAAAGAATACATATGATATAGTTGAATGGTAAGTAAATATTAAATATTGAACTACAATTCCGGCATAATGTATATCATGGATATATACATCATTCCCGGATAAAAATGATAGAATTTTCAGTTCATTTTCTCGAAACTAATAATATTTATTATTCAAATTTTATAATTAATTTAAAAATAAATATGATTTAATTAATATGTAGAAAAAAATCAATCGCAGTTAATATTTTTTTTTACAAAATTTGATACAATTATATGAAAAATGGACAAAATGAATAATATATAATATATAAAAAGAGATCAATAAAATAAAAATTGGTTTTTCATAATGTTTGTCTAAATTTGAATTCAACTGTAAAAATTGCCTATTATATTCGATTTAAAAATGGATAAAAAATATGGATTTTTATTATATTATATATATATATAAATATTCCAAAGGAAACAATTTTTTTTTAAATTTTTATCAACTCTATTATATACTATAATTATATTACAATTGTACAATATACTATAATTATAATATAATTATATAATTATATAATTATAGTATATAATAATACTATTGTATTATTAATTTCCTATCAAATGGAATTTAATTTATTATTATAAAATTTTTTGCTGGAATATTATTTTTAATTTTCAATTTATTTATTTTTAATTTAATTACAATATGAAGAAAGTTTATAAAGATTTTGGTTATTTTTTTCAAATATATAATTGATATAATGAAAATATGTTCTTATAATTATAAAATATAATTCTTCGAACATCAAGACAAAATATTATTTAATAAGTTTCTATTCATATGCATTAAAAATGGAATAATTTTAAAACGATTTTAATCTTGATAAAAAAAAATTTTATGGTGGTAATAAATTTGATTCTATATAAAAATTTTTTAATAAAGAAATAGTATTATATGATAATTGGAAAATATATTGAAAAAAATTGCTTTTTTTAAAGAATATTTTCGTATATAAATATAACAAAAATCAGTATTTTTTTATCCATTTTTTATTTCCTAAATCGAATGTGATAGGCAATTTTTACGTCAATTTTATTTTAATTCAGATTTGGCATATAAAAATACATAAAAAATTATTACATTCTTAAACAAAAAAAGTTCATTAACCTGTTTTTTCATATATATATCATTTTATTATATCGATTTTCCTCATAAACAAATCAAATTTATAGAAGAAAATATTAATCATTGTTCATCTTCTTCTATACTTCTATACTATCTATTAAACAAGAAATATTTTATATTGATATTTATATAAAATTTAGATAAATTGCATTAGTCTTGAGTAACATTGAAAATTAGTATATCATTTTACATTGAGAGTATATACGGGTGTTAACATGGTGATAAGAGAAAGCAATTGAGTGCAATTGAATCATTAGTCGTTAATTGAATAATTCAGTATAAAATAATTGATTTATTTAAATTGAATTTATTTTCTATTAACAACTTTTATTAGTTACTATATTGTGAATAATGCAAGGTGACTTTGATATTATTTGTTGAATTCATGCTTCTTATTTATATTATCGAATGATTTATGTTCTAATAGAAATTAATCCGTTTATATCTCGCATTCTGTTTGATAGATTATCATTTTTAATGTACGTAATATAATTTTATATTTTAAATGAAAAAACAGCATCTCGTATGTATTTATATATATTTTTAAAAATATGTTATGAAATATGAAAGATAATATATATATATATACATATATATATATTGCAATTATTATATTTTTATCTAAGATAAAATGATAATTTCATAATTTTATTTGATGGAATAATCGTAATGAAAAAAGATTTTTTAAGGAATGTAACTTGAATGTAGAACAAGTGAATCAACTTTATTGATAAAATTTAATATAATTGACTTGTTATTATCGACTCGCATTATTATTTTAAATTATCGAAATATTTGAACGTTATAATTTCGATGTTTGTGTGCCACGAATTTGATAAACGAATGAAAATTGTTGATGCGTATATTACATCACATATAACAAGAATGATATATAATATATATTTTCTGATATTTAAAAAAGGAAAAAAGAGCTGTACGAGTGCTTGTAAATAAGTCTTAGAACGTATCTTTGAAAATATGAAGCGGGTATAATTCGTATTACATAACAAATAGCTATTTTTACCTGTAAACATGACATTTATTTTGATAGTTATATACAAGACTCGCGTAACCACACAATGAAAATCTTGTGACGAGCATTAGGCTCTCAGAGAATACGCTTTTTCAAATATCCGGACGCTTTTTGACTTTTTGTTTATCATAGGCTGTTCGAGATTTTCGTAAAAAAAAAAAAAAAAAAAAAAAAAAAAAAAAAAAAAAAAAACAAAATAATGCAACGAGAAGGGAAGATAAACAGAAATAGAAAGAGAGGTAAGGAAAATTAGAGAGCGAGCGGAAGAGGGCGGGAAGAAAAGTGAGAAAAAAAAAAAACATGCGAAACAAAAAGAAAATATTATATTTCATCGATTCTCTTTACTAGGCATGCGAATCGCATCTAAAACTCGCCTGTTCGGTTCCTCATCGAGATATATTTTGTTATATAATTAAAAAGACGCCGACTGTTTATCGTGAAAAAGCGAATACATAAAGAAGAAAATTATTTTAAAAGCCGCTTATTGTGAGAACCGCTTACCGTATGCTTCATTTTATTTAATTGTTTTCGTTAATGTGTCTTGAGCTGTTTTGAAAATCGATAACAATCAATTTAGAATTAATTTCGGTACAGTAGTAAGAAGTTTATTAAATATGACGTAAACACGTTACTTGCGATAGAAATGAACATGTGTCAACGTTTTTTTCATTTTATTTTCTTTTATTCCTTTTTGTTATTTTTTTTTGTCTTTTTTTAAATTCTTTTTCTTTGTTTCTTTCTTAAGAAGAGACTTGATATAACGTAAAAAAAAGTTGTCCCCCTCGAATGCGAGAGAAAATTCTATAAAATGTTCGAATCTTTTGACTCGTATATCTATCTTTTGAATTGCTAAACAGCGATTGTACGAATTTCGCACGCTATAAAATTATTTAAAACGATTACGCACGCTTACAATGATTAGAGTTAGATTAGACGCATACGCTAACATTCTTTCCTACGTTCGTTTCAATACTGGCTATCTTTTTTTTATCCGATCGATGCAACGTTTTTTTTTTTCTTTCTTCTTCTTTTGTTATGACAAACATGTATGACAAACTTGTTTTTCTAATAATTTGTTATAAAAACCGAGATTCCACGTTCCAGAATGATGAGTCACGGCGATTTTTCAATCATTTTCTCACGAACGCGAAGGCGTCGTGTGTTTGTTAACGTTTATATGACCTTTCATCATCGAGACGAGAATCGAGATGGGGAAACGAAAATCACAAAAGATTTGGAAGAGAAAAGTGTGTTAAAGTGCAGACGCTGTAGAATTCTGCAGAACGTTTTCATAGAATGCCGCGAGCGGCTATCTTTGTCAATTTGATTATTTAACCGAGGAGCTAAAAGATTCTCGAGCGTCGAACAGAGGCCGGCATCCTCTCGTTTAATCTCATTGATAACGTCTCCTTCTCCGTCCATAAGTCCAGCGGACACTTGCTAATCTAAACATAACGTTTATTAAAATATAGATTTATAACATCTTTCAAATGTAATAATTATAATTTACTTTTCTCTTATAATAAACGATTAATAAATGTCAACTTCATTCTGCAATTACAACGTTCATTTCATTCCTATCCTAAATCGTACTAATTGTAAGTATTCGGTGACTTATGGACACGAAAATTTACATACATTTACATATATCGAAAGAGCAGCGTTGCTGCTTCTTCCAACGTTCTTTCGCGAGAGTATCGCAAAGATAGGCAGGCTCGAGAAAGGAACGGTGATTGCTCTCTGTAAAATATCATTGTCTCGGCCGATACACATTTGGCGAACACGTTTTACGATAGATGTCGCATTTGAAGGCCGTAAAGAGGGAGAGAGAAAGAGAGAGAAAAAGAGAGAAAGAAATGTAAGGGAAGATGGGAGAGGAATGTTCAAAGAAATAAAGAAATAGAACGAGATCGCCAGATGAAAATTTAAATTAATCATTGGAAGATCGTTAAAGGTATTCAACGATGTCACATTTGATAGATATATTTGGACAGCTGGCTACGCTGGCGCCGTAGCCGGCCCTCGAGGAACTTTTGTGCCTCTCGGTGAGTAACTTTTGAAAGATCGGCAATATCGCTAAATCGAGTAATTCGCCATCCGATACGGCGCTATACATTTTAGAAACATTTGCCGCGGAACCACCAACAACGTCTGAACTACTGCCGGTCACTGAGCTAGCTGTTCCTGGGCCATTCGCACTTCCTGCCACACCGCCGCTACTTGGCCCAGTGCCGCCACCACCACCACGTGGATTCGCGCTTGCGAATTTATTATTGTGTATAGTGGCAACATTTGGTGTGCTTTGCACGTATTCCAAACGAGCCTGTTGTCGGAGTTTAGACTCGGTATGTCTACACTCTCGTATTCGACGTGTGGCACGATGAGGACATTCGATCATCGCGTGTCCCTCACTTCGAAGCCGAGGACATTTTTCCCGCGATCTTTCAGACACCGATCGTTGAATAATCGTCGACATGGATTCCTCGTATTTCTCTGTGAATATAATATTATGTCAATATATATATAATTAAATTGAGTAATATAGGAAAGATCGGGGAAATTGCGTGGAAACGTATAATACAATATAAAAAAATGATTTTTACTATGTCTAGTTATTTCTTTTTGATATTATGATTGCATGTTGTTAAAAAGTTATTAGTTTATTGAAAAATTAGCTATATCAATTTATTAAATTATCTATTGCAACAATATTTTTTTTTATATATAAGTAATTTAATTGGAAGGATAGTGAAAATAAAATGAGCATTTTGGATTTCGATTTATAAATTTCTATATGTTTTAATAATTTAAACTTTATATCTAAATTTTTATAATGATTGAAATTATTATTTTAATATTAAAAAAATAATTTTTATGTTTTATTTATGTTAAATTTATAAATATATTATAATTTATTAATTCAATTAAATTACATATAAAATTTTTAATTTGTTATTAAAATGTAAAAGAAAGATAATTAGTATTTTATAAAAATATAATTTTCTTGATATTATTTTATTATTATTAAAATAAGTTATTAATAATATTTTTTTAATTGATTATATTTATAATCAAGATAAACAAGAGAAAAATATTTATTTTATGAATAATTGAATATTTTATTTACGTAATGATTTATTTATATACTTCCAATTTCAAAGATAGCAAGTAAACAGTGAAGTATATGTACTAATATATGTATATATAACGATATATATACATCGAATATTTATATTTTATATTCAGCAATTTTATTGCTTTATCTATAAAATACATATTGGTGTGTTTTAAAATCATATATTAAATAATCATATATAAATATATTATCTATTAAATAATATAATAAATGATTAAAGATGATTCAATATAATAATTGAAATATTTTAATAGTTTTTCATATTATTATAATCATGAATTATAATGAAAAATAATATTATAATATTATGTGAGTTTGAATTATAATTTTACTAGATGATATACGAATAATATAAAGAACGTTAATGTAATCATTTAGAAAAATACATTTAGAAAAACAAAATTGACTTTCTTATAATTTCTAGGTGACTATCTATCAAAAATTTGATTTGATATACGTTTTTTTAACATCAATAAACAAATCAAAAGGTTTTAGATGTTTTATCCTGTATCTTACTAGACAGAATAAGACTTATAATCATATTTTTCTCCACATAATTTATTAAAAATAAAAAACTGAAAAATTTGCCTATCAATCTCGATCTTCTGTAAAAGAAAGAGGAAATTATCGCTTACCGGTATCTGAATAACTGGCATTAACCATCGCAGGCACACTCGGAGAACTCGCATTTTGAGAATCATAATGTTTTTTATGTCTACGTGGAGGAGGCGGCGTTTCCGCCGAACCATTCAATATAGCGCGATGTCCTCGTCCTCCGTGTTTCTCACAACGATATCCAGTACCTGAGAATAATGCTCGTCGATGACCACATTCACCAATTATATAAGACTTATCAAAACCAGAGTTGAGAGAGAACTCGGTGGCCTCTGATTTGGAGACGTTCTCAGTCGAAATATAACTGATGCAATTGACTGGTACGCTGGTTCTCCGAGTTTGAAACAACTCGTGATGGGAATGAGCCATTCCGTTGCTCTTCACCGACGATCTTCTCTTTAATGATTGATGAGCGGATGCGTTTGTCGCCGAAACTGAAATAAAACCAGCAATAAATATAGTGAAAATAAGGAAACGTTCGAAGAATTTGTAGAATTAATTGGATAGAGAAAAGTTGTATATTATCTCACCGGAATGTCGATGCTTGGGAACGAATTGCGAGGGAGGCGGTAGAATCGCTTGTTCGAGGTAGTTTTGTTCGTGAAGTTCACCGAATGAGACGTTCTTTGTCGGCGGAGGTGTCGGGAGTCTGGATCTACGATCGTCTTTGCTTCTGATCAACTTTCCATGCCTGGGAATTTCGGTCTCTTCGAGGATAATGGCGTCACCCTCCTCGACGATCTCCGGCACGAATTCGACGTTCGTTTTACCGGTATCCGATCGCGAGTCCGGACTTCTCTCGGCAAGAAGAGGTTCACTCTCTTTTCCAAGTATGGAGGAACGACTTCTTCTATGGCCGGAATCGTCTGTTGTGTGTTTTAAAACCGAAGGCAAAGGCGAGGACGAAAAATCCACGGTTCCTTTCGTGGTTTCTTGAGTTTGTGGGACTAGAGGTGTTCGTTCGCTGTCGATTGCGATCGCCGGTAATTTCGAGAACGATGTCTTTTTTCTAAAAGGAAATATATTATTTTGATCGTTTTCGAATCAAATGCAAATTTTATATTTTATATATTATACGTACTTGCTAATCGGCTGTTCGGTCGCGATTGTACTCGCATAATCGACGCCTTCTGGTTGAGAGATGGTAGTTGAATTCAGGCTGCACATTGATATGGAAATGTCCGTTGTCTCTGTCGCAAGAGACAAACCTGCAATGAGATAATAAAAGTATGAGAATAGAATAATACTTGTACTTATAAGGAAAGATCTCGAATCTGCAAAAAATTTTGAAACTTTGAGAATATGTAGTGCATATGTAAAAAAAAAAAAATATATATATTGCGGAATTTTTGTTTGCTATTCAAATTCACTCTGAGAGAATAAAATTGACTCAAATGAAAATTTGGTTATTTTTCGATTTTTGAATTATTTAGTAAAAAATTTATTAATTGTTTATATAATTAGAAAAGAGTTATAAACAAAAAATTATAATTTAGTTTTTAATTCATTATTTTACAGAAAATTAATAATTTCAATAATTATAACATAAAAAAAATATTTTTTTTTTTATTACAAACACAAGCTTTGTTGTATTATTGTATTTTATTTCGCGACAATTTGAAAGAACTTTTGGATCTCATTATATGTATGATATATATATTACAATCTTCTTTTAATATTTATAAATAAGATAACTTAAAATATTGAAACAGATGGAAATGAAGAAAATTAAAGGATTGAGGATTTTTTTTTGTTAAATTTTAAAATAAATATTATTTCAAAATATATTATATATATTATCAATAATCTTAAAAAAAATCAAGAAAAAATGATTTGATAAAAAAACTATTTTTCCAAATTATTTCTTTTTTGAATTAAAATTGTGCTATCAATTTTTTTTAAGAATATTATAAAAAACAAAGAAAATTTTTAGATAATCTGTTTTGTATAGCCTAAAATATTTATAAAAGTCACATTTTTGTTTATTAGAATATTATGAAAATATAATAGAACTATATGAAATTCAAATATAATAGAATGTGTAAATGTATAAATGAGGAAAACAATATTAAATACTTGCATTATAATCTTATAAACAAGATTATTCTGTACTTACCTTCTTTTTTCACGACTGTTGCTTCCTGTCTCGGAACTGTTAACCTATCCATTGCTTCCTGTGTATTCGATGTGGTTTGATCATCAAGCCTCCGTAGGAACATCTGCAATTGATCCGTTTGTTCGATATGATTCGTTCATCATACACGTTTCTCAATAATTTACCTGAAGCTCTGAATCTTTTTCTAACAATTGTTTACGAAATTTTTGATTCGCTAACGTCGCTTCCTTCAAACGTTCCTCCAATTCGCTAACGCTCGAGTCCCTTCGCGTTTTCGACACTGGCCTAAGCGTTGCTCTAATTCGTTTGTCTATCGTACCTTGGGGATTTCTTCGCAATTCTATTAGCTAACATGGGAAAACGATTCGTTAATTTTATTTTCGCGGACGGAAGCCAAAGCGGCGATAAAACGACAACAAAACGGCAGAAAGCGGGGCATGGAATTTTCATTTCAGAAGAGTACCTTTGGTACAAAAACCAAGCACAAGGTGGCGGTGCTGCAGAATATTATAAATATCGCCAACATAATAAACATGGCATCTTGTTTGTCAGCCAACACGAAGCTTATAGCCGCTCCAGTAACACACATGATCACAACGTTGTATACGCTCATTCCGACGTATTTGCTATCGTTTAACGCAGGAATGCTAACATGCCTTGTTTCCCATGCCAAAAAGGCGCCGAATATCTGGAATATGAAGAAAGTCACAGCGTGAAAAATCGCTTTAGATCGCTACGAACTTTCTACTCTCGGTCGCTTGAAAAAGTTTGGTATATTGGTGTCGTCGTTGATCTCTCGGATCGATCGACATTACCTACCATTAAAAGACCTTTATAAGCGTATATGCACCCTAAATAAATGGTCATTCGATTACTTTGACAGTACTCGTTTTCCGGTATTATGATGATGTCTTCGCTGGAAGGATGAGGCTGAAACGAAAGAAGAGAATGCGCGACTTGATTCATGCGTTTCACATTTTTTTTTTTTTTTTTATACTATATCGTAATTACTCGTGTTCGACCGATATCGGTGCGCTTACATAAGGTTCCATTTGTTTCGTTTCCCGGTAAAATGGATCCGCAACCTGCCAGGTCGTCATAATACCCAAATCAATAAACAATAATACACCGACCACCATGAACAATTGATAATCTTTTATCACCTAAACAAAAGACGGATGTCGCAACGGTTAGCAACGGTTATAATGGATGGATAAAAACGATGGATAGGGAATGCATCGACTTACCTTTTTGTTCAATTTAACATCGGTAAATATCGAGTGTACTCGCCATGTTTTCGAAAACATGGAACCAAAAGCCAATGAGAAACCAGCCATCAATAGCCATGCTCTGGCGGTGCAAATGTAGGGAAATGCCGTTTCACTGGACAGCTGCGAATCTAACCCAAGGAAAATTACACTGCTGTAGGTCAGCATGCATCCGACGATAATGAGGTTGTTTAAATGCGGCGATGACATTTTTATGTATCTGAAACGTCGAAGATGATCGAACGTCGGCCATGAGAAGGGAAATAGAATATCCCGATTTGCACGGGTAAAAAGACTTATCTGGCTTTACACTACGAGCACATTCTTTCTTTTATCCGCACATTTATTAATAATATATTACGTCTCGTTTCGACACGATCCAATTTGTCTCGCGTCGCGTTATATCCGACGAATCGCATCGAGCAAAACGAACCCACGATGAAATTAACGAGAAAGGAGAAAAAAAACGAAAGAATTATTCCTGCGATCTTAATCACCTTTGATTTCTGTATTTGATATTGATGACGAGAAAAATAGCCGCCATGGTGATGCCCACGCTGGCCGCGGAAGTGAGCACAGCATAGATCGTAATATTTACGGTCGAATGTTCGATGATGTGAAGAGTTCGATCTTTGGGCGGTGATTTTCCTTTCCAGATTAAAGGCTCGCCCTTGTTCAAATCTAAAATATCTGTCACGCCGTCGTATTCACCGACTTTTACCTCCCTGTCGCCTGTAATAGAATAAAAGGTAATACACGAATCTCGAAAATTAGATCGATATTTTCGCGTTGTATACTCACCTTGAAACTGTTTCAAAAGAATATACGCTTTCCTTTCATTATCATAGAAACGCACCGGTCCCTAGAAAATTATATCATATAGTGTCGTTCACTTTAATTCACGCGTTCTATATTTTTCTTAATTTCTTTCAACACGATATTATATTATAGTTTTTATATAAATGACTAATTTTTACTTTTCGATGATTATTATGTATTTCGATGTAAAGTAGAATTAAAAGATGTTATTTAAATGTTTTTTTCTTCATAAAGGGTTATTTACTCTTAACATTTAAATATTGCGATAAACGAAAAGGATACATTCGTATTGAATAAAGAAAATACTGAATATTGTTTTATTTATAGCAGATATGACGTTTTACATTTAATTATTTTAACATAAATTGCGCAATTTTGACAATGTCTTGTTTATTATTACTACATAGTACATAGTACCAGTGTTACTAGGATGAATAATATATTTATATATTCTATTTTACAGATTTAAGCTTACAAAGTGTATCTAATATAAATTACAAATAATATAAATATTTACATTTGATGGAATTTATGATAAAATTAAACTTGAAAATAATATCTAAATAAAATAATAAATTTCAAAAATATAATGCATAAAATATAAAACTCAATGGTGTTAAAACTCTCAACATTATTTATGGAATATAAATATATCCAATAGTGTTAATTGTTAAATTATACAATAAAATTAAGCTTGAAAATAATATCTAAATAAAATAATAAATTTCAAAAATATAATGCATAAAACATAAAACTCAATGGTGTTAAAACTCTCAACATTATTTATGGAATATAAATATATCCAATAGTGTTAATTGTTAGATTATACAATCTCGTTGAAAAAGTTAACTTTCCTTTGTCACAGAAATACTTACCGTGACACCTTCGAAGCTTGTGTTTCTCAGAGCTTCAAGAAAAAGCTTCTCCCAAAGCTCGTCTCTGTATCTGAAATCTGACATGGTCTGATTGCGACGGTAGTGTGTTATCCTGCTTGCGACGCGTTGTATAGCTAGAGCCACTGCCCATATACCGTCGTACGAATATCCGTGAAATCTCGAATACTCTTTGCCTCGTCTCGAGTCATACTCGACCCGGTATTGTTCAGTCGTCTAAAAAGCGATGAGAAATATATAATGGAGCCGGATACAGGATAGAGGACACGACCAAATCTCGAACAAGCTATTCTAAGTACTCGTACTCACTATTCCAGCTATAGTCTTCCTCTTCTCCGTTGTGATTGGCAACAAGTCTGTCAATATAGCACCGTGCAATGCCTCCACCAAATCAGCGGAATTGCATTCCTCGTCAGGATGGAGCCACCATTCTTCCGTGTAAGTACCCATTATCACCCATTGATATTTTCTCCCGAACATATCGAATCTGAAAGATGAACGGAAAGATGAACGGAACGAAGATATAATCCTCTTAGCTCGACATCAAAAGAATAAATATAATTTTTAATCGTGCAAAAGCGTTACTTGTGCGCCTCGCAGAATATTCTCCTAGCCCATGTTTCGTTAAAGTTGCCCAAAATTATTCTAACGTCCTTCTCCTTTAATTTTTCCAGCGCTGTGGTCACCTCGGTGGCGAAGCTTTGCGTCTCTACCACTTCCATGCTATTGCTATCGAGATCGGCGACCAATCGATTATGTGCCTGCACGTGAACGTGATGAATAAAACGCATTATCGATAAGACAAATATACGTTATAGATGCGTAATTCCATGTCAATGCGTTATAGATATTAATTCATTTAAAAATATAAATATACGAGATATTTTTACATATCGAAGGAAAAAAAAAAATTGAAAGGAAAAAAGTTATAATTTAAATTATAATTTACGATAGCAACTGTTGAAATAATAAATTCAACGATTTATTAAGAATACAGTTATGGAATAAACGTTAGCAGAAAAATATTAAGAAAAAGCTCGTAATATTGACATTTTAAATTAATTAAATTTATCCTGATCATCTTTATTAGATACATCTTTATAGAAAAATAATGAAACTTTTTCATTTTTTTTTTTAAATATAATTTTGAAGAAAATTAATTTATTTAAAACTAAAATGAACATTCTGTGCAACGCACATTCTATGAAACGCACATGGTATGCAAAATAATGTATAAAAACATGTTCAAAGTAATACACGTATTTAGCGAGCAAAATTAATCTCCATTTAAATTCTATTTTCTTTATGTTTATAAAATATGAATATTACATAAACTTTTGCATTTTGCATACGAGGGACTTAGAATGAGATTGGTAGAATGAAATTATTAACTCGTTAAAAAAACCATTTTTTCAATTTTAACATATAAAATACCATGTACAGTGGCGTACTTAGCTGGTAAGTCGGCACTCGGAAAAAATATAGTTAAATATATTTAACGAGATAAACCAACCTATACAAACATATCATAATCACGCGCATTCTTATATCGTTTGCTTTTTATGATTCTATTTGTAGAAATATATATACAAATACGATAATGAATGAAACAAATGAAAAACATATTCGTACATAGAATTATAAACAGTTTTCAAATTGATATAAAATATCAATTCACGCTGTACGAGATAATATTTTAAAATAAAATAACCTATATTTTTCAAAAAATTGATTAAATTAATTTGATCAAAGATCATTAAAAAAAAACACTTGTATTACATTTTTTTTCTAAATAAATAAACATTTTTCGAAACGAAACGAAAATATACATATATATTACACGATATAATTCAAAGCGTTGATAGCCGATTCGTGTAACGTGTTTGTGTGTCATTCCATTATATTTCGATAAAATTTCAAATACTCACCAGAGCGTATCGGGGCTCGTTTTGATAAATGGTTCCGACGCGAGTCCAATTGAAGTGCAATAAAAGCGCCACGCGGGGAGCGTTGAACGCGTTCTCAGAAGGCACCACCCTGAAGAAATTTGGGAAGCTATCTCTTGTAAACATCGGGTGTGTGTCCGCGTAGCTAAGCTGCAACAAAGATCGATTCAATAATCGAGGAAAACGAATCGAGGAAGTGATTTCTTTATCCTCTTTGTAATCGTGAGAATAAAAAAAGAATAATTTCAATGATTTTGAATACTCATGCAAATGTAATGCAAATGTCACTTAAACGTAATATGTCTCTCCAGTTAGATATGTAATGTAAATTTTTGAGATATATATGTAGTATTTATATATATATATATATATATATATATTTTCTTACGTTCTAAATCTATCTTTTAAACAAAATTGATCTTCATTTTTTCATTCATATTTTCATCTAAGAAGAGGTTTGATTACATTGAATTGTGCAACTGTTTAATTTTTGTGCGAGATATTTTTTTATGAATATCATTCATAATTTCTAAAGTAGTTTGTATTAACCGAGATAAACGTAACTTCGCATTTTTTTCTTAATATCATGCTTGAATGTAACGTATTTCATTCAAAAAAGCAGAAAAAAAAAACAAAGAAAAAAGAAAGGATCATGTAACATATTTCATTCGCAAATACGGGTTCACGATGATAAATAAAAGATATTACTATTTTTGTACATTTTTTTTTTTATAATTTTTTTCAGAACGAAGAAAATATGACAACAGAACAAAAACAACTCTTTGCTTCGTTATTCCAAGACGCAAGATAAAAAAAGAATATGGCAACTATTTGTAAAAAAAGTCTTATTATCTTATGCTAAAATATAAATAATCCAACTCTGATAAATTTATGATTAAAAAAATAATATTATTTATAAATTTCCAAATATTTCCAAATTTAAAATATTTATTATTTAATTTTAATAATAACTTCATTTTATTATTTCTAAAGTTACGTCTAAGGAGATATCTCATAGTTCGCGGGGTTAAGATTTCGAAACGATGTCAAGGACAATCGTGAAACGCGAAACGAATCCGAATCTTCCCTCGAACGGAGATTCGAGATCCTCTTTTTTCTTTCCCGCAATATTTGCCGCCCCGTTATTATATTTCACAACTCACCTGCGTGAGACGCCAATGCTTGGACGCTTTGGCGATGGGATCGGTGACGTGCGTGCAAGCTGCGCCGAATAGCATCACTTTGTGCGGCCCGCTGTGCATCATATCGAAGAATGCCTTCACGCCAACGGCGGCGTTGCACTGGAACAAAATCGAATAGTGGAGTAAACGAATAAAAATCGGGTAAAAACACGGCTTTGATCGCACGAATCAAGTCGAGTTACGCCTCGCGGAACAAAAGGACCGTCCCTACGTCCAGTTTTATTTATTTATTATTTTTCTTCTTTTTTTTTCGGTCGGTCAACACAGTGCACTGCATATATAGCGCGCACCACACAGAGGCGGCGCTCACCTTCTTCGGCCCTATTCCCTCCCCGTGTCCCTCCTCCTCTCTATTTTTATTTTCGCGGTAGGCGGATAGCAACCGCATTTGCATAGTGTGAACGTGCCCGCGTATATTTTTACGACGCTGCCCGAGAAACGTCAGGAGCAGCCTTCCTCCTCCCCCCTCCTCCGCAGGTAACAAATGTGTCAAAGTGAAGTTTCTCTTCGTTCGTTCCTCCATCGAGGATGCTCGAAGACAAGCTACTTACGCGGAAGGGGTGCGAGGAGAAGGGAGGGGAGCGGAGGTTCGAGGCCGAGATACGAAGAGGGAACAGGAACAAACGTGGTTGTTGGTTGTTGGTTGAAAAAGGAGAGGAATGTTAGGATGGAATGGAAAAAATAAAAATTGTGACGTATGATTATTTTCTGAATAAGGAGGGAAGCTTGATTTCAAGATTTTTATTTAAAATCGATGAATTGTATTTGAGAAATTTATTATATACGAAATAATAAGGTTTTGTTTGTTCTTACAAGTGAATTTTATTCTACGTTTTCACCTTTTATCGGTAATTAATAACGAAGAGAAATGACTTGTACGTAAGAATCGTTTCAGGAATGATTTTAGTGCACAGTAAAACAGTAGAAGAATTCACATATAAGGATATGTATTTGGCTTTATTTTTGATTTAAGTTAAATTAAGCAGATAGAATTTTAATCAAGCGGCTATACGTTGACCGTGATACGTGTCTCATTATGCGAGTTGCGGGATATCGATTTCAGATGCTGTGCATCGATATGAGAATACGTATATCCGTTCGTAGTGAGTAATGCCCGATGCTAATAGTTCAGAGTGTATAGACCACATTATAGCGATTTTGATGTTGCAATAATTCTTTCGATAAAGGGAAGTAGTTGAACTATGTAATTCCATCCAATTATTCGGTCACGAATAGAATCTTGTGATTAAATTCCTGTGATAACTTCCTCTTTTAATGTTCCATGTACGAGTATTATTGAAACACTAGATATATACGTATATTATTTCAATATGTCGTTTATATCAAAAATTGGGAAATTATATTAATGAAAAATGTACACTTAATGACATTACAGTGAATTTCTTTTGGAAAATTTCTTTTATCTTTCTATATTTTACTTTAATACTTTTGATAAATTTTTATGTCCTTGACAAAATATCGTAAAATCTTTTTTTGGAGGGAGAGGCAATTATTTCATGTTCTGCCATTTTGAAATATTTATATATATATATAATATATAATATATATAATATATATAATAATATATATATAATATATAAAATTTATATATATATATTTATATATATATATAGGCATAATTTCTTTATTAAAGAAAATATGAGATATCCTTAAGGATTTGTTATTGATCATTAACCAGACGAGTTAGAAACAAATCTTGAAAAGATGGATGAATATATCGCATCAAAACGTATCAACATCTTATACTTTATTCTCGTAATATAGAAAAAGTAAATAAGCGCACACGTTGCCATGGATACATATATAGATAACGTTAAATATATAGTAGCGAAAAATTTTGATTAATACGTGGGAAACTAGTAGCTAAAATTTTATATTTAAAGTCCTTTTCACCTCTTCCTCTCTCTCTCTCTCTCTCTCTCAAAATTTTCAGTACAATGATTCACTATGATAGTTGAATTATACCGTACATATTTTATCTCAGAGTATTGTTAACGCGTGGAATGGAACAAAGACTCCCTGTATTATGGGATAAAAAATAAAATTCAAAAGAACTTTAAAAGAACTCGTATGGAGGTATATACGTATATATATACGATATTCTCGAAAAAGTGGAAATATCATGTTTTATCTTTGCAAAAACTTTCGAGTTTTGTGTAACGATTCATTAACGAAAAATTCACCAATTACAGACTCGTCGAGATAACGTTGAATAGCTCGAATAAACAAATCTATGTGAATCGAGAAAAGTAAAATATTCGATAACGTACTTTTTATCGAAAAGAAATTATATCGAATTATTCAACAATGAAATAAATAAATTCTTATTTGTGCGGGGCAAATAAATCGAATTTGTTCACTCGAAACGAACGAGATACGAATGAGAATCGAGTTCAGTCAAAGAAGATATGAACACTGTTATTACCGAATCGGTGATTATTGACTTGATCGATCACGAAAAACGATCGCCTGATGTGTGTTGACGCTTTTGGATGTCGCGTTCTGTAGGAATAAAAGTTTTACAAACATTATATCCAGATCGAAAGATATACTAACTTTTCGATCCATGCATCTCATTCATATCATATTCATATATATATAAAAAAGAACGTTTTATCTCTGTAAAAATTAATTTTATTAAAAAAGTTTCGTAAAAGTTGTTATTACTTGACAATGTGTAAATATATTTTAAATTAATTTTTCAACGTATATTATATTTAAAGACTTTCGTATTTTGCGCAAGACTTTCAGCGTTTTCCTTCTTGGAGTTTCGTGGTAACTTCATAAGTTACAAGGGAAAGGGTATTTTAATACTGAAAGCTCTTGTTTGACGTATATGGAAAATACGCTTTTTTTAAATATAACTTTGGTGGTAATGATACAACATAAAGCAAAATTTTAAATTATAAAATCGCTTTCAAATTTTAATATTCTATTAATCTGTTGTAAGAAATATTTTTAAACGAATTTATATTATACAAAAAGTGAAGAAGTAATAAAAATTTGTGGATCTTTCATCGAGGAATAAATTATGCATAACATAACATTATTACATACACAAACTTTCATTAAAATCAAAATTTTTCGAGTCAAATCCTCGTAATATCGTGAAGACTTTTAAAGATGATTCCTATATATTTACCATTTATTGTTAGAATTATTTTTTGGGATTTTTTGGGACACCTATACTTTTTTTATCAATTTTCTTGATTCCAATCTCTTTTTTTTTTTATAATCCTAGAAAGAATTTCTAAAAGAAATTCAAGAATCTATTTTATCACTTAGAATATCTTGTGCATTTTTCTTAAAAAATATTAAAAAATGTTTCGGATAAAAAATTGAACGGCGTAAAAGGAGATATGACTTAATATTACTTAATATTACTTATATACTTATACTATAATATTACTTAATATTACTGCCATATATATATATATTGACATACTAGTATGCATAACTATACAAAATCTTCTGCTATGTAAATACTTGTATATACGTAAAAATTGAAGATAAAAATCAAACAATGACAAACTCGAGTTCCTCGTAATTACATTTCAAATGACGATAATTTCCGATCTCTTCCAACCGCATTTACGCAAGCTAGCCAATAGATACACGAAAGCGAGAGATACGACACGTGCACGCGACAGATGCTCTCTAGTATATTGCATTTGGATACCGCAAATGGCATACCGGAGCCATGGGTCGATATTACCGATTCCTTGTGGATCGACATATATTAACGGTTGGCCCAGTGAACTTGTTTCAAGATGTCTTAGCTTTCGTTTGTTGGGATTAATTGAACGTGTATGCGTACGTCCATGTGTCGAATATCTTTTTCTGAGTTATAAGTTATAAGTTAAATCAATTAACAAAACTAGAATTTGAAATTGTAATTATTTCGATTAAAAAGAAAATTTTAATTTTATTAGTTAGCTTTATTAGTTGTTTTTATTTCTTGTTAGTCTAGTCTATCTATTCTAGTCTAGTCTAGTCTATTCCTATATGTATATATATATTATTTGCAATTCTCGTTACTGTGATTAAAACTTGTATTTAGTTAATAATATTTGATTTGATATTCGTCATTAATTCCAAATTATATGTTAAAATGTGTATTTGATTAATAGTTTGATACATCATTGATCTAAAATTTTGTTATTATGTTAAAATATAGTGACGACTCGTGGAACTAATATACTCCAAATTGCGTATATGTTACAAACAATCTTGAATTATTATAATAAATCGGCTTGAAAATTTTTTGACTGGAAAGTGTCAATGATTCTAGTATTAAGTTGAAAAAATTAAATCGTTCTGACCATAAGTCATGAAGAAATAAAAATAAACGAATAGAAAATAAAAATTATATCAGCAATTTATACATGTTTTATCTTGATTGTGTGATAACGTTATAAGTTTAATAAAATTTAAATTATAAGTTTAATTAAATTTTGTTTATTCTATTCATTTTTTTATTTATATATATATTATAAATAAGTTAATGTATACAATGTCTCTGAAATCATACAAAAATAAATTAAAAGAAAGAATAATATTTTTTCATTAAAGACTTCGTTTTCAAGAAAATCCAGTTTGAAAATTTTTCAAATGTGAAATTAACTATTTTCCGATTGAATATGAATGAGCTCGGAATAGGAAGCAAAATATGTGAAAATGAGTAAAAAATATAGAATTTAAAATATAGAAATTTTACTTTCTTTTTTTTTTTTTTTTGAGAAATTAAATATTTATCAAAATTATTGTCAATCAAAAATTGACAATTGACGAATTTTCAAATTCAATTATCTTGAAATTCTCGAAAAACGAATTTTAAATAAAAAAACTTTATTCTATATTTTTTATATATTTCCACAATTACTTTCCATTCGATAATTTATTCCTATCTAATTTGAAGTTAGCCAACTGTACTCGAATATTTTTTTTTTAAATTTAATTTATTTGAAATTAAACAAAAAACATTATTCTTTTTTTTGCATGTAATATCATCATCATTGTATATATATATATTATATAAAATTTTATATATGGCATACCGGAGCCATGGGTCGATATTA